ACCCACCCCCAACCCACCACTCACCCCCAACCCAAGAGCCACGCCATCAGCTTACTGCACTGCATTGGTACCATTGATGGGATTTGTTGCCTAGCAGCTGCATGCCCATCTGACAAACCCCTTTACCTCTCTGCATGCACACACACACACGCACATGCACACACACACACACACACACAAAAACCCCACATATACATGTGACATCATACTTTAATGACCTTTATATAGTCACATTCAGATGACTTTATGGAACTACAATAAAGTCATGACCAACTTCGCTGGCATCTCAAATGTTCAGTTATGACATAATTAAAGTTCTAAAAGCAAGGGACACCTGATCACCCCGCCTACTCCCCTTTTCCACACTTGTCTTTTATTTTTCCTTTCTCTTTTCTCAAGGGCAAAATCTTCTCCAGACATAAGGTTGTCCCTAGGAACAAGATGAAGGGTAACACTTTATTTGGATAGTGTGCCTACAGACAATATTTGTAACATTTGCTTTGTCTGCAGATGTTTGACAGATTATCTATTAGTATATGTAACAATTCATGAACATACCCTTATCAAGATGTTTTTGTGCCTAAATCTAGCTAAACCTTTATTTGTGAAACAGATGAATTTCAACTAATAAGCTGTTGAAATGTTACAAACACTCAAACTATCTGTAGGTGGACAATCCAAATAAAGTGGAATCAGATGAAGTACTGAAGAACTGAGAACTGAGAACTGAAAGGATCACAGGTTTTACACTGCCTTCCTTATTACGAATAAACAAACTACTTAGTTGTCAAGACATGATTTTTTCTCTTGAAACAGACTTAATATAAATATATAATATAGACATAGTTTAGGGTAGTCTTTTTTTTTTTTTTTTACCAAAATAAAAACACAAGGTCCACTAGCTTTTACTGGAGTTTTCAGCTTCAGTTTTTGACACTATCTGAATTGAAAAATGGTTAGTTTTATCAAATAAGCTGAATACAAATGAGTAAGATAACATGTCATTTAACATAATCATTTATCATTAGTTTTACACTTGTGTGGCTCAGGCATCAGAGCATTTATGTATGGCAAAAAACGGGTCTGAGTGCCTGTCACAGTCACACTTGACTCAATCAATAGACTAATAGAATACAGAACTTTGCTTTGAAGGTATGATGAGGAGTAATGCATGGCAACAAAAAAGTACATGTGAAAGTGAATTAAGTCTATTTCAGTAATTATTTACACACTTGGCCCTTTAGGGGCTCTATATAAAATACACTGAATGCTGGTACTTGAATAAAGTTGTACACGGTGGATTTGATAGTAGAATTTGGGTACAATATAATGACAACTTAGGCCTCCATAGATAGTTGATGATGATTAAATCTGGAAGCAAAAGAATACATACTCGATTTCTCTTGAAGTGTATTAAGATTACCATATACACACCTCACTTGGAGTGATGGGGAAGAAAAGATGCAGGTACCTACCTCTTTTTAGAGCATTTCCTAATTTTATGTGGCCTTTGTGCGAAGAGCGAGTTCTATAACCCTATAGAAAATTACCTCAGCTATATGACTGAAGTCATTCTGTGTAACAGGGAAAAACAACAAAGAGGGAACAGCATTTGCCCAGTGCAAGCCTGTGACATCGCATCTGTGAGAGGCTGGAGAGGACTTGCATATGTGTCATGCCACAGCTTGGGACAACATGGCTTCTGCATATTTCAAGAAATACTACATTTGGGTAAGCCATATTAAACTTTATTAAACACAACTTCAAAGTAAAATAATAAATAATCAATTACATGTTGGGAATATCATGTGAAGCAACTTCCATTTGTAGACATCAAATACTGGATTGCAAATTCCTGAATAAGTTGCTCAATAGTTACTCATCACAAACATAATGACAGGTCATGTTCCAACAAAGACATACTGTTCCTTCCAAAATGAATAGGTTTAAAACTGCTCTAGCTTTATAGCAAACACAGCACTGGTGGCTCTTTATGGTCCTGTAAGAATTAACAAGTGGGTTCACTGGAAAACAAGTGAAATAACATAAATATGGATTATCATCCCACTAAACAACACCAGAGGTACTGGGGGTGAATTCATAATCTCTGCAGAAACGATACAGACTTGAAACATGCTAAAGTGGTAAAAGTACTTAAAAGTGGTAGCTTGCTGGCCATACATTGTCATCCATTAGGCTACTTGATACATTTTTAAAAAAAGAGCAAGACAGATGAAAAGGAGATCTGACAAAAATCTGAATGGTTTACATACTGGACTGCACTGTGCTCAAAAGTCAGGCTCCCAACACGTCAGGCATAATCTACTGTACAAAAAACTGGGTATCGGGTGCCCGGTTAGCTCAGTCAGAGCTGGCAACCCATATATGCAGCAGCACGGGTTCGAGTCCGACCTGGGGCCCTTTGCTGCATGTCGTCCCCTCTCTCTGCCCCCTTTCCTGTCTATCTACAGCTATCTATATCAAATAAAGGCATAAAAGGCCAAAAAATAATACTAAAAAAAAACAAAACAAAAAAACTGGGTATTTATCCAAAATATCCTTATGCAGAGAGTGTAAACAAAATGTTCCTCAGTTAAAGCCATCTCCATTTGTCTGCCTTTTGAGTTCCCTCCATCCTGGCTGATCTTGAAAAATGACAATGTAATTTCTGCTCCATTTATTTCCCATGCCAGGGCCAAGTGTTCTAATTCACTCATTGAGTCCTCACAGACTCCCCTCCCATACCTCCCATGCTGAGACAATATTGTGCTTAAATCTCATGCTCCGATTGTCATGGATGAATCCTGTATGGCACAATTAGATAGACAGCGTAATTATAATGGCACCCTGTGTCCATGCAGATCATCCTTTGAACTGCTGAAATATTTACAGCGGAAGAGACCCAAATATATATTATCCCCCTCGGCCCAATGGGGGATAATGAGCAGCAAGCCCCACTCCACACTGTACTGAGACAAGGCACACACACACACGAACACAGAAACAGACACACAGACATGCACAAACCCATAGTACCAGATTCCCAGGTAATTTCTATGACCTTTTTGTATTCTCTTACAATACATATTATCTCAATTCTCTTAGAATACACAGCAAGCTTATGTTACACCAAGTCAACGTACCGTGAATCTCAATAGTATGCAATATCATTTGTTCCACAGCATATTTTAAATCAGATATAATATGATGTCAGAGTATAACCAAGTACGAGCTTCTGTATTATACACCAATGTAACTCAAGAAGGTGGTTAACCTTAACCTAACCTTGACCCACAAATGTTATGGTTGGGGACTTGTGTTTTGTCCCCAAAAGGAAGGTGAGTCCCCACAATGTGACTGGGTAAACAGATTTATGTCCCCTCAACATGAGTAAGACAGACACACACCATAACACATACAGTATCTATGGGTGGTTAAACACCAACCTTGATGGTTAGGAGAACTCCGATTGGCTGATTGCTGGAAGGCTGGACCAATGAGGTCAGCTTGTCTGTGATTGGAAGACCGGTCTATATTGTCCTGCTGAGGGAGACAAAAGAAAAAAAAACAAGAAGAACATTTTGTTAACCCAGTGGGAACTTTGTTACTGGAGCCAAACACTCAACCTATATTGTTTAATTAAAAAAAAGAATAAGAAAAAAAGTAAAACAAAAAAACAAAACAAAAAACAAGGTGCTGAAGCATTTTATCATCTACATAGTGAAGCATGTAATCATTCAAATTAAGTTCAAAGAGTTAATATGATTTGTTGAGATGATGACATACCAGGAAAACAATGTAGGTGTCCAATAGCACAGAAGCAATGCACTAAATGGCAATATACTGTGATTATACCTCTACATAAACCAGTTTTTAGAGAGAGATGTTATGCAGGGATCATAATGCTCAGTGTGTTGAATCAGGCTGCAAGCTGTTGAAGAAACAAAAGATAGTACACAACTGTTGCAAAACTGTAGTTTTTATGTTTTCCATTTAGAGCTAAAACTATTAGTTAGGTGCAAATTGGTATTATAAAATAAAAATGGGCTGAGGAGGACAAAAATATAAATAGTCAGTATTTCAGAAAACTTAACAGAAATACAATGAAATTGAAATCCTACATAAAAGTATAACAAATTAAAAAACAAAAAGCTGAACTAAGGTAACCTCTACTCTTTATACACTGCTTGTGTGAAAACAATGCTACATTCAACAGTGTGTGAACATTGCCAGGTGGGTATCAGAACACCAGCAGATAATCTACCATATACCCACAATGTCCTGGTTTGACTGATTTCTCTTTTTCTGTTTAGAAACACATTTGATTTGGATTTGTCTTTAGCATTTACAACTACAAAGAGTACAAATGTAGATTCTCCATTGTTTGTGAGCATGCATGTGCGTATGTGGTGTCCCGAGCAGGGCCCAACAGCAGGAGTGGGAACAGAACGTACTGGGGTATACGACTGAGCTTGGGAAGACATTGCTACTGACTGTGTCTCTACACAGCAGACCTCCTCTGATGCTGTTATAAAAACTGTTGCGGTAACTTCTTCTGCCTCATTTAGAGTAGTAGTAGACAATGCAGGCAGAGCTGGATTCTTTGACACAAGCTTTTTCTATAATAGAATCCTTAGTAGTAATATAGTATAATAGTATCATTTGTTTGCCTTATGTCAGTTTGAGTTATCTTTGTTGGCTCCACAGCGATTGAGTTACAATGAATAAATGATGATGGTCCTGGTACCCATCACGTCATTCTTTAGACCCATAGTGTCTCACTTAATAAAGCAGATCAGGGTGTACTTAAGAAGATTAAATGTATTTGTAAATTCCTGAAACTGAGTGATGCTCTACTACCACAGTACAACTTTTATAACTGTTAAAATAACCAATTAATGCTTTGCCTTGTTTCTCCTTTCCCACTGTTATACATACACAGAAATCAAATGTCTTACGCAATTTAACAACATTTTTATCCCAAATAATAAAACATACCAAAGGCATTTGGAAAGTTATTCTAACAGCTACTTTGTATAATATGCATTTCTTTGCACCATGGTAATGGCATTCCTAGACAATCCATTTCTAATGCAAAGCTCAAATTTGTCTACAGAAATATTAATTTTACCTGTGACGTTTAAAGTCATTTTACGAAGAAGACTTAGAGGGTAATTGACTCACTGTGAGAATAAGGCTTGAAGTAGAATGACATTCTAATGACTCCATTCTTCAAAATAAATGCTCAGCTGAATAGTCTGTAAATTTATAATCCATGATTTGCCTGTAAAATGTTTCGTTTTCATGCTCAGTGAAAAATAAGTCGTTAGTGTTCCTCTTCGGCATCTATACTGGTGCAAACGTTCAGACTAAACTGAATATAACTAGAAGTTCAACGTCAGTATATGACGCCCCCCCCCCACAATCCCTCTTCTATAACAACTAACCCAACCGCATCCAATCACTACATCACATTGTTCCGTCTCTGTATTGTCTCGAGTTGCAGGCGCCACATCGAAAAAGAGATTTTGCAGCTTAATGGGACTAACCTTTTGAAATTTAAAGAAATGGTCAAATAACCACAGAATCACCCCATTTGTTCCTGTGACACAGCAAACGCCATCATCAACACACATCGTCTGGGGGTCCAGCTACCAGACTGTGACTGATCCCTACCCAGTCACCCAAACAGTGGGACGACAGTTTGGTTGGTGGGATGGTACAGCACAACGTTAGTGTGTGTGTGTGTGTGTGTGTGTGTATGTGTGTGTATGTGTGTGTATTCAGGACAGGATGGTAATGGTTCAGCTCTACTGAGCAAAAATGCAGGGACTCTTAACACCATATACTGGTCTTGAATGCTGTTTTGCATGGCTGTCTGGGAGTAAATGAGTTAATACACACACACACACACACACCACACACCACACACACACACACACACACACACAGCCACACCCACACCTACACACACACACACACACACACACACACACACACCACACACACACACACACACACACACACGCTCTCTCTTTAAAAGCACACCTTGATCTCTTTTGTGGATCTTACCAACAAAAATCCAAAACCCAGACAGCTTTTGATGCCTGTATAGACAATTGATAGAATGTTAACTTGAGGATTTAACCCTATAGATACTGGCTATTTAGCATAATTCTCAGCCATGCCATTGCCCAACTCTGCATTTGGTTATAAGTTTATTGAAGCCTATAAAGTTGAGACCACAAAGAGGAGGGGGAAAATAAGAAAATAAAAGCAAGCATTTTTTCTTCTTTTAAATGCTGAAGAAAAAAAACAGATGTTCTTGCTTTTTCAGTCTCTCTCACACTAAGAGACACTAAAAGACAGACACAAAAGCACAGGCGCGCGCGCGCCCACACACACACGTGTTGCTTAAGTTCTTAAAGAGAGGTCAAAACAAGACTAAAGGTAGGCCAAGTTTTGACAAGAAGCATATAAGGGCCCTTTCACATTGATAAAGTTAAAAGGAACTCCAAATAAGAGTCAAGGGGTTACGGGTTCTTTTTAAAAGGGTTCAGTGAAAGGCTGGAGACAAGGTTAAAGCACTGAAAGCAGGACAGACACAAAGGTCTGGAGACTGGACATCAAACAAAAGGAAAAAACTGAGATCAGGTTTGTCTTTAGAAAAAGTCAGACTCAGGTTAAATGTTATGACCGGGGATTAAATATGATTAATACTTGACTCACTGAGAAGTTTTTGGCTAAGAACATTTGAGGTTTGACGTTTAAAATTGCAGTTTCTGTAACCTAGAACTGAACATTCTCAGAAGGCTTTGAAGAAGTGGAAATATTCCTCAAGGGTCCTAGAATTGCTTCTGGCAGTAGCACTAGCTGATATAGTCCTGTTACAACATACATGAACACTAGACAGCAAGTGGAAATCCCTTCTTACATAATTAGCCAGAATGGGATCAGGGGGTCAAGCTAATGTCTGCTCTAGTGCCTCATTTATCTGTTTGTTTATACAGTAGACTCTGGTGTAGCTGCTGACACAGCCCAGCTGAGCCACTGTCAGGCTGGCCTATGACTAATTTTTAGATAATATGAGCTGATTTTGGTTTTTTATTATCTTTGTTTAAATTCAAATTAATCTATTATAATATTACACTATAATTATGTTCGCTATTGTTTGCTTTATTGTGCTATTCATCCAGATTATCTGAGAGGTATGTGAGTTCAGTAGAACTAGTAAATTGTGTAAGATACATTATAAGCAGCCCTACTTATTGAATAATCCCTGGCTACTCACTACTACTGAAAAACTGTGATATACAGTACAGTGAGGTGGTAGTGTAGTGCAATGTTAATAATTTCTGAAGATTGTATGCAGTTTGTTTGAAATTACTGTCAGTGGCTTGTATCCAACTTTGGCCACTGGTCCCTACTAAAGGTGAGAACAAAAGCTATTATTAC